GTAATGTGTATGAGTGTATAACAGAGCCCACAGCAATAATACTCCCAGTAATGTGGCTGAGTGTATAACAGAGCTCCACAGCAATAATACTCCCAGTAATGTGTCTGAGTGTATAACAGAGCTCCACAGCAATAATACTCCCAGTAATGTGTCTGAGTGTATAACAGAACTTCACAGTAATAACACTCCCAGTAATGTGTCTGAGTGTATAACATAGCTCCACAGCAATAATACTCCCAGTAATGTGTCTGAGTGTATAACAGTGCTCCACAGCAATAATACTCCCAGTAATGTGTCTGAGTGTGTAACAGAGCCCCACAGCAATAATACTCCCAGTAATGTGTCTGTGTGTATAACAAAGCCCCACAGCAGTAATACTCTCAGTAATGTGTCTGAGTGTATAACAGAACTCCACAGCAATAATACTCCCAGTAATGTGTCTGAGTGTATAACAGAGCTCCCCAGCAATAATACTCCCAGTAATGTGTCTGAGTGTATAACAGAGCTCCACAGCAATAATTCTCCCAGTAATGTGTCTGAGTGTATAACATAGTTCCACAGCAATAATACTCCCAGTAATGTGTCTGAGTGTATAACAGAGCTCCCCAGCAATAATACTCCCAGTAATGTGTCTGAGTGTATAACAAAGCTCCACAGCAATAATACTCCCAGTAATGTGTCTGTGTGTAAAACAGAGCTCCACAGCAGCAATACTCCCAGTAATGTGTCTGTGTGTATAACAGAGCTCCACAGCAATAATACTCCCAGTAATGTGTCTGAGTGTATAACAGAACTTCACAGCAATAATACTCCCAGTAATGTGTCTGAGTGTATAACAGAGCTCCCCAGCAATAATACTCCCAGTAATGTGTCTGAGTGTATAACAGAGCTCCACAACAATAATACTCCCAGTAATATGTCTGAGTGTATAACAGAGCTCCACAGCAATAATACTCCCAGTAATGTGTCTGAGTGTATAACAGAGCTCCACAGCCATAATACTCCCAGTAATGTGTCTGAGTGTATAACAGAGCTCCACAGCAATAATACTCCCAGTAATGTGTCTGAGTGTATAACAGAGCTCCACAGCAATAATACTCCCAGTAATGTGTCTGAGTGTACAACAGAGCTCCACAGCAATAATACTCCCAGTAATGTGTCTGAGTGTATAACAGAGCTCCACAGCAATAATACTCCCAGTAATGTGTCTGAGTGTATAACAGAGCTCCACAGCAATAATACTCCCAGTAATGTGTCTGAGTGTGTAACAGAGCTCCACAGCAATAATACTCCCATCAATGTGTCTGAGTGTATAACAGAGCTCCACAGCAATAATACTCCCAGTAATGTGTCTGTGTGTATAACAAAGCCCCACAGCAGTAATACTCTCAGTAATGTGTCTGAGTGTATAACAGAACTCCACAGTAATAATACTCTCAGTAATGTGTCTGAGTGTATAACAGAGCTCCCCAGCAATAATACTCCCAGTAATGTGTCTGAGTGTATAACAGAGTTCCACAGCAATAAAACTCCCAGTAATGTATCTGAGTGTATAACAGAGCTCCACAGTAATAATACTCCCAGTAATGTGTCTTTAAACTACAATAAATGTGTTTTGAAATCAGTCTCAGTGTAAATAAGACACATTGTTCTTCTTCTAAATTACATTTTAGTTACATTAGTAAGTCACCCTCCCACTCACACCCCCATTATTAAAGGGAAACCATAGCTGTCACTATAGCTTCCCCCTCTGTCAAAGCCCCCCCATCCCCAAACCCGGTGGTGCATATTGGGTTAATAACCCCGTCTGTCACTTACCTGGGTCCAGCACCAATGTCCCTCGATGCTGGCTCGGGTCCGTTCACTCTCATCCCCTCCAACGTTGGGGGAGATCTAATTCGCAGCGCGGCAATGGCCACTCTCGCTTTACAATTTCCCAATAGGAAAGCATTATTCAATGCTTTCCTATGGGGATTTCGGTAAGGCTGGAAGTCCTCATGCATAGCGTGAGGACGTCCAGCGTCAGTAGGGGGAATAAAAGTTGGCTAATGATCCGGAAGTCCTTCTAGTGGCTGTCTGGTAGAGGAGGAGTTAACCCATAAAGGTAATTATTGCAGTTGATAAAAGACTGCAATAATTACTTTTGCAGGGTTAAAGGACCACTATAGGCACCCAGACCACTTCAGCTTAATGAAGTGATCTGGGTGCCTGGTCCAGCTAGGTTTAACCCTTTTTTCTATAAACATAGCAGTTTCAGAGAAACTGCTATGTTTATAATAGGGTTAATCCAGCCTCTAGTGGCTGTCTCATTGACAGCCGCTAGAGGCGCTTGCGTGCTTCTCACTGTGAAAATCACAGTGAGAAGGCGCCAGCGTCCATAGGAAAGCATTGTGAATTGTGAATGCTTTCCTATGAGACTGGCTGAATGCACACGCGGCTCCTGCCGCGCATGCGCATTCAGCCGAGGAGGAGGAGAGGAGGAGGAGAGTCCCCCACAAAAGAGGTAAGTTTAACCCCTTCCACCCCCTAGAGCCCAGCGGGAGGGGGACCCTGAGGGTGGGGGCACGAGTATGTTTTCCTGGCACTATAGTGGTCCTTTAAGGGCCGGACTGGGAAAAAAATTAGCCCCGGGCATTTTTCAATCAGAGCGGCCCCCTAAGTAGGGGGCGGGGCCAGAGAGGGTGTGTTTTGTCATCACTAATGACAAGCACGCCCCCTCTCAAAGTGAGCATGTTGGTTCAATGCAGTGTCTGTCTGAGGGTGTTGTGTGCGTCTGAGGGTGTGTGTGTGTGTGTGTCTGAGGGTGCTGTGTGTGTCTGAGGGTGCTGTGTGTATCTGAGTGCTGTGTGTATCTGAGTGCTGTGTGTGTCTGAGGGTGCTGTGTGTGTCCGAGGGTGCTGTGTGTCTGGGTGCTGTGTGTGTCCGAGGGTGCTTTGTGTCTGGGTGTGTCCGAGGGTGCTGTGTGTCTGAGGGTGCTATGTGTCTGGGTGCTGTGTGTGAGTGTGAATTTATTTTTTATTTAAATTTAAATATATTTTTTATTAATAATTTTTGAAAAAGTTATATCCCCCCCCTCCCTTCTTACCTTTAGCCTGGGAGGGGGGGGGGAGCCGTTCTGCCATGAGGGGGGATCCTGCTGCCTTCCCTGGTGGTCTTAGTGGTGAGAGTGAACTCTAGCCTACAACGCTCAGATCTCGCGAGAGGACCCGGCGGAGCTGCAACATAGAGCTTCCCTGGGCCTTTCCTGCCTCACTCCCCAGCTGGCGGCCGCTTATAATTGCCTGTGCGCCGGTGAGGGAGATCTTTGAACTCCCCACCGGCCCACGAAGGCATGCAGCGGGGCCGGCGCTCGGGTAGCACTGGCCCTGCAGGGGCTGGCAGGGGAGATTCTGTGATCGGCCCATGGCCATCGCGGCCCATCTGGCATTTGCCCAGTATGCCCGATGGCCAGTCCGGGCCTGGTTAAGGGTGATGGGACACTGCACCCAGACCACTTCAATGAGATGAGCCTATAGTGTCCCTTTAAAGTCACTCTTTGTGTGCAATGTGGGGAGTTATGTAACAACAAGCCACATGCTACACACAAGCAGCTGAACACACCAATTCAAATAAAGGCTGCCTGTGGTGCCTCCATAGTCCGGAGTACATAAACCAAAATCCCATGGAGAGACAAAATGATATTTACATAAACCTGGTGCAAACTATATAAACACTCCCTCAAGTGTTTAAATATCAAAATCCATATACAATATAGAATGCACACTATAACAACTTCAATCATTAAGTACAATAAGACTTTATTAAAAAAAATAGAGGCAAACAGTAATACAAAAGTACTATACCAAAAATCTTACAAGCCACAAGGCAGAAACACAAGTCACCAACTCCCCCAACGTTTCGGCACCAACTGGATATTATCAGGTGTAAAAAATAAATAAAATAGAGAAATTAAACAGTGTTGAGGAGCAGCGGAGTAATCCCTTGAGTATATTGGAAGCCACTGTTTTTGAACGGGTGGCCTGCAACGTAACATCAGTAAGAGAGACCATGTAAAGGGCAGCTTTCGAATTTTAGAAATAAGTTCTCAAGGACATTCCAAAGGCCTGAATCAAGTCTGCAGAAAAAAAAACACGTGTAGTGTTTGCTTCCAGGAAAAGTTGTCCAAGCTGATTTCAGCATAGAGTGTTCACTCTCCACCCACCACCAGAACATGCAACCTGTGGCAAACCTAGCCACTTATGGACACTTAGGATTGAATAGCACGTTAACTTGTGCTGTGTTCGTTTTGTATGCAATATATATCATTCGTATGCTAGCAGCACGAAAGCCGCGAGCATTTATATGATAGTTTCACGAACAGTATTAAGACCCACTGTTCGTGAAACGAATCATACTACCGAATGGGATACCACACAAAGGGGTTAATGTCTCCCATTAACGATAGTTACAATGTATCCACAGTCGATTAATGCATTATGTGGGTGGCCGCCGTTCGTATGCCTATCTTTTCTCACGAAAGCCCAGCGGTGTTTGGGCGTCGAGTGCCTGGAACTAAAATCGGCTACTCGACTTCACGAACACCGCAGGACTTCCATATCGTTCGGATAAATTATTTGTTCGGTAAATTCACGTACCCAGTCTTTCGTCTCATTTTAATGCATATTCGTGTCAAATGTACATTCGAATGGCTTTCTCTTTCTACTGCAGGGATCTGAGCGACATTTCACCAGATGGTGCGCTCAGATCCCAGCTCTTCAATGAGGGGTCATTCGGTTAATTCAACATACTATTGTACTAGTTGTGGATTTTAATGTGAAACTGTATGATTTGCTGTACGGAGAGATAATGTGATTAACAGTACATTCTTGCACAATTATCTCTCCTGTACAGCAAGGCATGCTGGCAAACAGCCTTGCAGGCTAAGTTCCCCACACAGTCCTCTGTAGTAAAACCCCTGCAAGGACTGTAAGGAAACCCCTTGCATGGGGACTTGCATAAATACGGTGACCTTGGAATAAAAGTTCAGTTGACTCCCAAACTATGTGTCGTCTAGTTCTTGGGAAAGAGGGATATTTACCACGCTACCTGTGATTTCTATGCTATTCCTGACTACCAGCGGGGATACCGTGGATTGTACTACCACTCCGCTACACAACCCATATAATGTATGTCATATATTGGCAGTCGAGACCCATGTGTGGTGTGCCCTGTAATGTTAACATTATTACCTGGGATGGGGCAGGAGAGTTTCCTGAAAATTAGCAGAACAGTCTACAAGGGCATGCTAATGGAAGGTACTGGGATTGTAGCCATCAGGTGACCTTGACCAGTCAAGAGACTGAAGAAGGTTTCTCAAACACCTCTTGTATTCATGAAGATATAATTTGGTCCATCGAGTGACTAGATTACTAGAGGTAACATTAATGATGCCCCCCATCCTTCTCTGGTGAAATTGATGTGAATTCTTGCAAAGTTCTTTGTTCTTGCTTTACTTGTCTATTATCGCAATTATTTTTACATTATATTCTTTTTGTAACTGTGTATATTTTCCTTCGACATTAGCTCTTTAAACCCGTCAGATGTTCATTGTGTAAGTCTGGTTTTCGTGGTGCCCATACTGGGACTAAGCTCTGTCATGTGTGATAATATCTTGCTTGGTTTATGTTTGCTAGAAAGCTTTCAGAAGAAGAATCTGTTTAAAGTGCTTCGAGATGCACACAAGAGTGTCACTGAGCTGTCAGGAGCACTATGTCATTGTCACAAAGAAGAGCCTATTGTTCTGCATTTTCCAATGCAATATGTGCTGGGATGGCAGAGTGTAATAAATCCCATTATACAGCTATCTGTGCTGCTTGCACCAAGGACCCATATTATACTCAACCTCACCATCTGCACAGCCTCCCGCCTTCTGCCAATCTTGCTCCCCATCCAGCTCTGTCTCTGTAACAGTGCTGCAGATACTGCTCTGCCATGCCGTTCTGTAAATACGACTCTACCCTGTTTGGATGTCAGAGTACTGGGGGTATTTCTGCATTGTGTGTTTAAAGTTACCCCGTGCGCTTTAGAAAGGTGGGTCACACCTGCTGGCACGTGGTCGACAACACAAAACACGTCAGCAGTGCAACATTGTATCAATGTCAAAGGGTAAGTGGGGTCAAAAGCGGCTGAGCTTTCTTTTTCGATCCATCTTGGAAAGAGGCCCGCTGTGTGCCCGCTGTGCCCAGTTCTAAATCCGCTTGTTTTTTGGCGGTGTTTCTCTGTTTTGCTGTTTCTTTTTATTGCCCTTTGTCATAGTTTAGCAGTTACCCTTGCCTGTGCAGTGAAAGAAAGACAGGATGGGTTGATGGTAACAGTGGGGTGCAAGGCGTCTTGGATAACAAGCGAGTAGAGCTGTTTGAGGGGTAGTCACCCCATTAGTTTGCTGTGCTTTTATTGTAATGGTAGCAGGTTAAAATTCGTACACTTATGCTGTTACTGTGGCCAATCCACTTTGATATTGCGTACTTCTTCCATTAGATGGGGTAACGTAAACTAAGGTTATCGGGTGGTAGAATATTAGATTAAATGATCAGCAGTTATGCAGTAGAATATTTTTGTGGCGTGTTAGTGTGAATGCAGTATTCGTAATGTGTGCGAAGAATGCAGTGTGTATTTTGTGTAATGTGTGGGAATGTTGGGTGAATGGGTGTGGAGATTTCGAGTATTTGAATGCAGTGTGTATTTTGTGTAATGTTTGGGAATGCTGGTTGAATGAATGCGGAGATTTCGGGTAGTTGAATGCACTGTGTATTTTTTGTAGTGTATGGGAATGCGGAGTGAATGGGTGTGAAGATAGCGTGTGTGAATGCAGTGTGTATTTTACATAGTGTGAGGGAGTGCGGCGTGAATGGATGTGGAGATTTAGAATGTTTGAACGCAGTGTGTATTTTCCGTAGTGTATGGGAATACACAATCTATTTGTATGCAGTGTTGCATATTGGTGTCCCTCAGCCCACCCCACCGTCTCCTATACACCATTCATTGTTATTACCTCTAGCAGGCAATGTCCATCTGTGTACAATCATGTTTACCTTCCGTGTAATTATATACCACTTCCTTTAGACTGCAGATACCTATATGCCAAAGATGATTTGTTTAGCCATTGTGCAGTGCCGCAGTATATGTTGATACTTTATATTAATTTTTATACTAACGGCAGAGGATTTTAGGATGCACACAGTTGCCTATAGTTTATTCTCTGCACACCAGACCATTTCCATAAAGCTATAGCAACGCGCGGCTGTCTGTAACCAGGAGATATTTCACCTCTGTTTCGTTATGTAATAACCCCCTCTGAGTGGCTCTCTCTGCACGTTAATGAGCTCAGTATTCAGAGAGGACATTAGCTCTGTGATGGCATTGGTTCCTTGTTAATGTGAACGAGGTAATCTCCCTACTTTTACATACAGAGTGTCCTATGGGTAGGTGAGAAACGTGACATCCACCAATTATATCAGGAGAAAGCAGACGGACACAGATATCATCCATTTCTCTTAACAGAATTCTGTGCAACTTGACACTCTTTCCGTGTAACCCTTTAAGTGTCAATGGAAAGTACAGCAAGGCATGCTGGGAGAACCACCAGGAATCCAAGGAGAAATGTCACTAGACAACCCTTGCAGGAGGGAGACCCCATGTTCCTTGCTACGGGGTGCCTTCTGATTGGCCGGGGTCTATATATTCATCCAATCACAAGGCAGGGGAGGGCCCCGGATGCTATGGAAACAGATAAAAGCTCTTCTTTTTTCAGTAAGGCCTTGTTTTCCTGGGTGTGCATGGGAAAAATATTCGGTTCGGTTCGGCTTTCCGAAATTCGTGACTTCAGCACTTCGGAACTTCAGCACTTCAGTTCAGTTCGGCACTTCAGAACTTCAGACCCTCCGGCACTTCAGAACTTTGGGACTTCTGAACTTTGGGACTTCCGAAGTTCGGAACTTCAGGACATCATAACTTCAGGACTTCGGGTAGGGGTAGGGTAAAGGTTAGGAGTAGGGTTAGGTTAGGGGTAGGGTTAGGGTAGGATTAGGGTTGTTCAGGAGTAGGGTTAGGGGTAGGGTTAAGGTAGGGTTAAGGGTTAGGGGTAGGGTTAGAGGTAGGGTTAGGTTTAGGGGTAGGGTTAAGGTTTAGGGAAGGGTTGGAGGTATGGTTAAGGGTTAGGGGTAGAGATAGGGTAGGGTTAGGGTTGGGTTAGGGGTAGAGGTAGGGTTAGGGTAGGGTTAGGGTACCCCTAAACCTTACCCTAACCCTAACCCTACCCCAACCCCTAACGCTACCCCAACCTTCTCCTGTTTTGCCAGTTTTCAGAAATCCAAAGCACTTTGGCACTTCAGAAATTCGGCACTTTGGCAATTCGGTTTGGTTCGGCATACCGAAATTCGGCACTTCTGAACTTCGGCGGTTCGGTTTGGCATTCCGAAATTCGCCACTTCGGAACTTCGGACA